TGGTGATGAGGATGACGATGGTGATGAGGATGGTAATGAGGATGATGGTGATGATGATGGTGATGGTGATGATGACGATGGTGGTGATGATGATGATGATGATGATGATGATGATGATGATGATGGTGATGATGGTGATGAGGATGACGGTGATGATGATGATGGTGATGAGGATGACGGTGATGATGATGAGGATGATGGAGATGATGATGATGTTGATGATGATGACGATGGTGGTGATGATGGTGATGATGACGATGGTGGTGATGATGATGGTGATGATGACGATGGTGGTGATGATGTTGATGGTGATGACGATGATGATGATGATGTTGTTGATGATGATGTTGATGATGATGACGATGGTGGTGATGATGGTGATGATGACGATGGTGGTGATGATGGTGATGATGACGATGATGGTGATGACGATGATGATGATGTTGATGATGATGATGATGATGATGATGATGACAATGGTGGTGATTATGACGATGAGGAGGATGATGATGGTGATGAGGATGACGATGATGAGAAAAAGAGAGCAGAGAAAGTGTGGACTGCTGGAAGAACTGCGGTGAACTGGTGAAAGAAAAGTGAAATGGCGCTCAGAGATGGCCCTGCACATTTAGAGGATGTTTGGCTCAAAATAGTTTTGTTTTGTTTTAACTGGGGGTCATTATAGAACTTTGTGGTAGATCTGTCCTTCCAGACGGACCTGCTCTGCCTAAACGGATCTCCAAAACATTTCTGACATCAAAGATAAACTGATGTTTGTGTTTTCAGGTGGTCTAATTTGTCGTGCGGTTCTTTCTACGTCCCCCAATCACAACGTGCACACCTTCATCTCTCTGTCGTCACCACTGGCCGGGCAGTATGGAGGTTAGATGTTCTACAGCTGTTGGGTCTCCAGATCTTTGTTACATCAACGCCTGTAAAGTAAAGACTTATCAATCTAATCTGACAGATTTAATCTCAATCCACAGACACAGATTACCTGAACAGGTACCTTCCTGGCTGCATGAAGAAGACGGTTTTTCTGTTCTGCTACAACAACTTGGGGCAGAAGTTGTCTATCTGCAACTACTGGAACGGTGCGCCTGGAGCAGGAACACAGAAGGTTTCCATGAAGCAGAGAAGCAACAGTAAGGTTTCTCTCTCTCTGCAGACCCCCACCACAGAGACGTCTACCTGAAGAATAACACCTTCCTGCCGCTGGTGAACGGAGAAAAACCTCACAAGCTCATGAAAGGTACCTGCTGCCTTCGGCTGCGTTCAGTCTCAGCGCCGCGTGGCGATAGATGGATTGCTTTTCCTGTGATCAGGCAGCGATTGATAAATTAACGAGGAGGAGCCCCGCTGCAGAGGGAAAGTAGCACATCATCAACATGGAGGCTCATTATTTGAGGTCCATCACCTGCTAACCGCTTCAATGAAAACATTCTTTTCATCTTATCAACATCTGCTTAGATTGGAGAGAAAACTTCCTGCGCATCAAGAAGATGGTGCTGATTGGAGGACCAGATGATGACGTCATCACTCCCTGGCAATCCAGGTCTCCTCGTCTTGATGTTTCTGATGCGTCTCTGTGGGATGAATTCAGACTGACTGGAGTAGGGGGGCCCTTTAGGACCCAGGGGGGGTCAGCCTACTGGGGCTTTACTTCATGGTGAGAGGTTGAGGGGGGGGGCGAGATAGGGCTGCACGGTGGGGCAGTGGGTACCACAGCTGCCAGGGGCGCCGTCAGCAGTTTGGGGCCCCATGAAAGGCTATATTTTCGGATTCCCGGTTCGATTCCCGGTTTCCCCGGGGTCTTTCTCCGGGTACTCCAGCTTCCTCAGTCCAAAAACATGGCTGCTAGGCTAATTGGCTTCTCTAAATTCTCCTTAGCTGTGAGTGTGTGTGTGTGGTTGTGTGTCTCTGTGTTGCCTGGCAACAGAGGATCAAACCGGGGATGTTTCTGCTCTCTGACCACGGGGCCACAGCTGGACATGAACTGACCTTTAACCCCAAAATAAAATCCTCCCACTGTTTGATGTTTTTACCAGAGTAGGTTAACCACGGAGTAATCGGTTCCTCTTTTCTGTGCAGCCACTTTGGTTTCTATGACAACAGCGAGGACGTTGTGGACATGAGGAACCAGCAGGTAAGAGGCGGGCTGGATTTTCCGCCTGATCGTCTCCCTTCAGCCGTCGTGTTCCTGAGGCCTGGATCAACCAGCAGTCTGTTTCTTCTTCTCTGGCAGTTTTATAAACTCGATACGTTTGGTCTGAAGACGCTGGACGCCCGGGGCGACGTGACGCTGTGTGTTCAGGCCGGGGTGAAGCACACACACTGGCACTCCAACTTCACCGTTTTCACCAACTGCATTGAGGAGTGGCTGGTGTGAAGGAGGCGCCTCCGCCACCAAACTCCTCCTGATCTCTGAGGATTCCAACAGTTTGTTTAATGGCGGCGCCTCCATCAACCTGATTCTAGTTCAACCTATCCCGACGAGGAAACTGAAACTGCTTAAACTCTTAAAAGTATCTTTTAAACCAACCCTGTCGCTGTATTATCTGTTAAAGGATCTATTTTCATAATTTATCCCATTTTCTTTAACTGTTTTTCTTTATATTCTCCATTTATTGGATATTCAAACTTTCACAAAATAAATTAATTTAAATGCTGAAATAAGAACATTAACTTTAAGTGCCTGAATGAAAAGATTAATTTTTTTAAATTAGGTATTATTTTAACACAATCAGAACTTTTCTGAACAGAAAGGTTTTTTCTCTCCGTCTCCCAGGATGTTAAACAGGATTAATTGTTCCTGTTTATTTTATTTCCTAAACTCAGAGTGAAAATTATATAAAACTTCTTATTAACAGTAAGTTTTCTAAGATCACATTTTGTTTAATTCTATGTATTATTATTCTAATATTGGCTATCAGTGATTTGCTTGGGTTATTTTTTTTAAACAATTTAAGCACATCTTAGAGTTTATATTCTGTAGTTTGTACTTTTTAAAACATCTTGATTTTCTATTGGTGGAATCTTCCAATAAACTGCTTTAAAGTGAAAAAGCATTTTGGTTTATTTTGGTTGATGTTATAATCTGACTTTTTGTGAAAATTTCCCTCTTTATTTTTGTATCTTTAATTTTTCTGATCTAAAATATTAATGACTTCCGGTGAAAAAAACTGGCAAAGTTTTAGGAAGGTTAATTAGTTAGAAATAACTGTGGGGGATAACTGCTGCCCTCTGGTGGGCAGTGGAGGTACTTTAGCTGAAGGGAGACAAACTTTAGATTCTTTTAACTAATGGAGGTTTTATGGGGACTTTTTATATTATCAGTGATTTTTAATGATGGCCTGTCTCTCTTTTTCTATCTCCACTATTATAATTTGTCTTATCTTTCAAAATTAGGGTTTTCTTCAACAATTGAATTTATATTTTCCTTCAGTTTTATTGTTTCCTGTTTTGTTGGTAAAAGGCTTTGGATAATTTTAATAAAGCCAATAATAAATCAGTTATTCTTGGTTTCTTCCTTTATGGAAGTAATATTTCATTAATGTAGTGAACTGCTTTACTGGTGACTCTTTGTCCTTCAGACAGGAATAGATAAGAACAGGACTGCAGCAACAATCAGTCTGCTTTCCAGGACAGACTGACATGAGGACTGTCCTGCCTGATGACCCAGATCTTCAGGCACATGATCAGCCTGCAAATAGATTTGGATAAAAAATAAATATCACTTTCAAGGTTTAATCTGCCTTTAATATCCCAAAGGAAACATTTAGATCACAGCCATAGAATAACAGATCAGCATAAAATAACAGGAGCTCTGATAGAAACACAGTAACTAAAAATCTGACGGTTTTTAAAGCGAATCTTCGGAATCTAACTAGCAACCCTTCCCCAGCGGCGGCTTAGCTCAGCTAAAAGGAACTTTGAATCTACCTGATTTTCTATAGTTGCTGTTTTTACTGAGAGTTTTCATTTAAAATTATTCTTATACAGTTTTGATTTTTATTCTGAAAATTCTAAAACTATTTTTATTTTCTAATTTTAATAACCATGTGGGCAATAAATCATTACATTTATCAGACAGTTAAGATTTAGGCCGAAATTCGATTCCTTTATTTTAAACACTAACTTTATTTCTGCTGAACATATTTTTAGGTCAAGCTTAGTAAATAATTAATAATAATTGAACTTTATTGTGAAATTCCCTCTCTGCGTTTAACCCTGGGGGAGCAGAGGGCTGCCATGGTGCGGCGCCCAGGGAGCAGGGTGGGGTTAGGGTCTGGCTCAGGGACCCAGAGGGCAGGCTGTGGCAGTGGGGCTCAGAACATCTGGATTCATAGCTCTATGCCCTGACCGCTAGGCCTCCACTCCCCTTATTTACAGCGAGTTTTATGTTAAAGTGGAGAATTGCTTCTTTACTTCATTAATCTCATTTATTTGTTTCAGTTATTTCTATAAAGAATGATCAATAATTATGAATAACTGAGAGAAGGTTTTATTTTTAAGTTTTTACTCCTGTTGTTGGACTTTTAATCGGATCAGTTGGTTTTATTTGTTTACTGATTCTGTTTGATTTGCCATATATTTACTTCCAATGTCCAAAAAAATACATTTTAATTTATTTATTGATTAACAGACTTTGCAGATAACTTTATATTTTATTTGGATCTGTGTTGCTGTTTTAGTGTTTGTCTTCCTTCTGGGAGATGATCAATTAATCCGGTTTTCCTTAAACCTTCTTCCGGTTTTAAAGCTCAGATTAAATCTGGATGAAGAGTTTAAATCTGCTTCCCAAACTCCAGAGCTTAAATCACTGATTGATCATTTTCATGATTGGAGCTTCAGTCCGTTCATAGAAAAACAACCAGTAGAAGCTGAACTTATGGTTTCCAGATTAGCCTAATGAGCCGCAGTCACGCGCCAGATTCTGTCAGAACTTTAATTTGAATCAGATTAAAAATCAAACATCTGAAAAAATCGATTCTATCCAGAAAACGTCAAATAGAAAAGCTGACAGCTGTCAGAACTGCGCATGTCACTGGCTGAGATTTAACCACGTGATCTCCCGGGCTCTACAGGTGTGGGCAGTGACGTCACATAGGTGCCTCCCCCTCCCTCGGTCCGGTCTTCTCGCTGTTGGTCTGTTTCTTTCTCAGATTATTTTCCTAAAGTCTTCTCCCTTATGACGTCATTCACGCTAAAGGTCCCCCGATCCTCGCGCCGACTCTGAAACTTTGATCCCTGCTGAGCGCGTGAACCCCGGGTCCACTTCAAAGGTAAGTTCGCCGCTGCGCTTCAAATAAAAGTTCAGAGAGAAGGAGCGCTGGGCGGACCGGAACCAGAACCGGTCCGGTCTGGTTCCGGTCCGGACCGGTTCTGGTTCCGGTCCTCCGCTGAATGTGGATCCTGTTGCTTTAAATGAGCCGCAGTGGAAAAGCTGCGTGACTCTCCGTGACAGCGTGGCTGAGTGACGTGTCCCGCCTGGAGGATCGTGGAAAGCTGGAAGCAGAACTCCTGGAGCCGCTGGCTGCTTCCTGCTGACAGGAGAAGCTTCCAGCAGCATCTAGAAACACTGCATCTAGAGAGGCTGACCTGCTGTTTGATCTAGTTTCTATTTCTAGATCAACTGGACCAGAGTGGGTTCTGTTCGGTTCGCTTCTACTAACATCAAAGTTTCTCTTTAAATCACAGAAATGCTCCAAAACTCTGGTTTATGTTTCATGGGGTCAGAGGTCATCTGAGCCTGAAGCGGACCCTCTGAACCAGGCGGGTCCAGATGGGCCCCTGGGGGCCGCTGCCCTGCTGGTTTCTCTGCTCCAGCAGCAGATTCTGATGATTGTAGTTCATCTAAAACCTGTTAATCATCTATCAATGGAAACCAGCTGAAACCAGCAGGACAGCGGCCCCCAGGGGCCCATCTGGACCCGCCTGGTTCAGAGGGTCCGCTTCAGGCTCAGATGACCTCTGACCCCATCATGATCCCGACATTAAACCAGATTATTGTTAGATCAGCAGCTTCAAACCTG